GACCGACCGACTGACCCACCGACCGACCGACTGACCCACCGACCGACCGACTGACTGACATTCTGGACATTGGGCAGCCGATGTGATTGATGCAACCAGCCCAAATGACAGAAACATCAGGAACATGAGACAATGGATGAAGACCAAGAGTTCAGGGATGGAGAGTCTGACAAGTGAAGGAAAAAGGATTTATCATGACATAATATTTTAAAAAGATGAAATCCCATCATATTAACAGGGATGTAGAGATTTCTGAGGGTGACTGTAGACACTTGGTTGCTAAAAATGGACATAATTATTTTATTAGATTAATAAACAATTACGTAAACCAAGAAACACACAAATCTGCTCCACTGCTTTAGGATGAAAAGTGTTCAGATTTAATTATTCAGATAACTCTTTGATAACGAGAATGACTGAATGACTTATTTAAGGTAAAGTAGTTCAGCAGTTTAATGTTACAACAGACATAAAAATGGTTAAAAATGAAAGAATTTCTTCCTGTCACCATCTCTCTGCATCTGCCTGTTTGCATAACTCGGTCTGTTGGCAGCAGGAACAGCAACAGAAGCCAATGTGAGACTATGTCCATGAGTAATTGTCTTCACAAACCGTTCACAGCCGAGATGAGGGACTCCAAAGGTCACCTAGAGTTTTCAAATCTAAAAATATCTCCATTTACTTGACGAGTGGACTCACCCAGATGGTAATTTAAAAAGAGAAGTCATTTTAAAAGAATCAAGAAACACAACAAACACTTCAGTCAAGCCTATTTGTCTCCACATGAATCCTGATGTCTCTTTAAGTTTGCTCCCGAGGGCGCCGGTCGACTTAAACACCAACTTCCAGCTGATTAGATTCAAAGTGACCTCGTCTGAAAACTATCAGCTGAAAATGAGCATATGGTAGCTCCTTGCTGCCGGCTCGACAGTCAAGACGAAACGCCGAGGCTGTGAGGGAAATCAGGTCGAATTAAGCCACCAATAATATCTGAGCAAATCCCTATTAACTAGCAGACAAAGAACATATTTGCGACAACAGCCCCGAGGAGGAAACCGTGGCGTGTGGATGACACACTCAGGATGGGAGTGAAAATGAGCCCGGCGGAGGTGAAAATCACGCCGGAGCCTTTGCTTCGGGCGCCAACTTTGGCTGTAAGGATGCAAATTAAAGCCACATAAGCCATTAGCCTCATAATACCTGTTATCACTGTCCACCTCATTAATGTTGAGCTGCTCCATCCAGCTCTCAGCCGGCGGAGCCTTCTTGAACTTTCTCCTCGGCTGCTTGATGTATTTCCCGCCTGCACGGCTGCCGCGTATTTAATCACTGAGATCAATAACTGTTACCATCATTGATCTTGTGAGTCTATTTCATGGGTAAGGTGGCAGAACCTCATATTTTCTGCAGGCTGCAGCTCTTATGCATAATGTAACCAGCTGAGGGCTGTTTTTAATTAACATTAGAGCCCCTGCTCAGAATTAGGAGATGCTGCTGACTGCTAAGGACGTTCAGTGATTTCATGCTTTGCCCAGAACTCTGACTGAAGGCGCTGCCCTTTCAACTCTCCCTTTACTTTAACTTCAGATGAATTTCCTAGCTTGTTTGTTCATGTTAATATTATCACAGTGCTGCAGATTCTTGAGGTTCCCTGATGTTTTTACTTATCCTCCACGACAGGATTCAGGATTTTTGGTGGGCCAAAAAACTGCAGAGGAAGGAAAGCCAAAAGTTGCAGTTTGTAAATGTAAAAAGCTGCTAGAAACTATGGAGTTATGAGCCGAATACAAATACATGCAACACGTTTTTTTTAGATTTAGTTGGTCTATGAATAAAAAACATGAGAAAAAATGAAGTTTATTGTCAGGTAGTGTAGACTGATTCTGCAGCACAAGAACTTCTACATTTGGTTCCTTTTTCATTCCTACATTTAAAATGAAATTTTTATTGACAAATGTGTCAAAATTGTTTAAAGTGTGTGAATGTGTTCTCATATCTTTATTTGTCTTATTGCACAAGCTGGTTGTCAATTTCTAGAAAAAACCTAATGGCGTTAAAAGGTCCTGCTGTAATTGGGTATAAATTAACATCCTTGTACATTTCTGTCAAACTTTAAAGTGTTTTGGCCGTAGCAACGTTGGACCAACCAGTCCCTGTCCGTGTCCATGTCCATGTCCCAGTCCCTGTTCCAGTCCCTGTCCCTGTTCCAGTCCCAGTCCCTGTCCCAGTCCCTGTTCCAGTCCCTGTCCCACTCCCAGTCCCTGTCCCAGTCCCTGTCCCAGTCCCTTTTCCTGTCCCAGTCCCTGTCCCAGTCCCTGTCCCTGTCCATGTCCCAGTCCCTGTCCCAGTCCCTTTTCCAGGCCCAGTCCCAGTCCCAGTCCCTGTCCCTGTTCCAGTCCCTTTTCCAGTCCCAGTCCCTGTTCCAGTCCCTGTCCCTGTTCCAGTCCCTGTCCCAGTTCCAGTCCCAGTCCCTGTCCCTGTCCCTGTCCCTCACGCAGTGACAACCTTTTCAGATGTGAGCTGCTGACAGGACTGACTGAACCACTGCTGTTCGCCGACCGTCTCCCTCCTGTGGAGCGACCGCTCAGCTCCCAGATCAGTGTCACTGACCTTAATGGCCGACATTTACTGGGACAATCTCAGAGCTCTGCGTGAGGACGGCGTGCCGGGCTTCATGCAGAGACACAAAGACCAGTGAAGGTGACACCATCATGGCCATAGGTGGAAGGGACACTTCTCCTGGAATAACTGAAAACAACCTACTGAAGCTTTTCTTTTGTCTGGGTGAACCGATGATCTGAATCCACTGACTGAGATTTTGAAGCATTTTTCTGAGTAGATCCAGTAAACTTCACCACAGAATCCAATCATTTCATTTATAGATGCAAATCAAACTGTTGCTGTGAAAATCCTGCTGATGAAATGATTTTCATGGCCTGAGTGAACAGGCTACTTGGATCTAAAGACTCCAAAGACACCAGAAGGACAGCAAAAATTCACAAATCTGCTTTAACAAACTGAAAAAATGAATTTAAAATTCCATGAATGTGTGTTAATTCAACAAAAGACAAGAAACAGTAAAAGTTTTCAGGAATTATCAGAGGAATGTACTCTACTGAAAATAGATGCTGAAGCTAACTGACCCTCAAATCATCATCATCATCATCATCATCAGAAATACATGAAACTTTCAGGAACTAAAAACCAAATAAAAACATCAAAGCAGAGATAAAAGGCATTTTTGTGGTCAAAATTAAGTATTGATTCAAAATGATGAAAAATAAAATTAATATATAAAGACCCAATATTAATCCAACCCAACACAGCAACAAAGTATTTCATAATTAGATAAAATATTTAAAATTTTTTATTTTTTTTTCTTCATACACATTTTGGTTTAATTCACTATATGAATAAAAAATATTGTTTCAAAGTTTTCAGTTTTATTTCTTGTCCAGTTTTATGCTCAGTAACATAAAAAGTATTGTTTGTAAGATGTAAAATGAAGGTTTTTTCCCTCCTAAATGCAGCATTTTCCCTGTAGAACGTAACTGAAGACCAAACAAACAGAACCAATAAAAACCACGACTCAATACTCCATCGTTGCTTTGCAACGGAGCTGGAATGCAACACAAATGAGTTGGATCTCCTTTAAATAGGCTGTAAAGTAGTCTATAATAACGTTGATTGTGAGTTGGAGCTCTTTAAATGGCAGATCTGACGTGAAGAGTCTCACCTTCTGGTCGTGGCTGTAGGCCAAGGCCCAGTCCTCCTGTGTGGGGTGGAATAAAAGGCTCAGGACGAAGAAGGAGAGCCGGTACTTCTGGAAACTGGCTCCCTCATCAGTGCTGATGAGCACGCTGCTCTCAAACTCCGGATCAGTCAGGACCATAATCTGAGAGCAGGGAGGATGAAGAGAGGAAAACACAGAGGAAGGAACAGAGAGAGAGATGAGGAGATGAGAGGAGACAGAAATAAGACGTTAGAAGCAGGAGAGGTGTTGGGCCTAAAATGTTTCGCCAATTTGGCACATTGCAGGTTTACTTTTGGCAAACAGCTTTGCTGAAGCTCCTCTGTGGAGCCTTCTGTGCTTTCAGAGGTCAAAACTCATCATCATATCTGTCCAAAACAACAAGGAGGGAAAAATAAAAAGGAAACGACGACACACAGGTTGAAGCCTCCTTCAGAAACCTTCCTCTGCTCCAGCTGCAGCCGAGAGGAGCTGCTTCTAATGAGTGATTTAGCAGGCATGACTGAACCTAAACACACAATAACTTACTGTCTTTATCAGTTTGCACCACACAATGTCATTTGTTAGCATTTCCTCTTCCAGTACAATTCTAATTCCAGCTTCAGCGGCTCAGCGGGGGGTTAGAAGCCGTAATTTCATGCTTGAACTGTTTCTGCGGGAGCCGTCACGGTTCCAACAGAATTCAATAAGGAGAGGAACTTTTACCGCATATATCTTTCAGCTAATAACATTTAGTCTTTCTGGAAGCAGATTAAATGCTCACTGGAATTTTGCCTTGAATTACAGGAAGCTCCTCAAAGTAGCCGTAATCACCGTATTTTATTCAGCAGCGCCGTAGTGAAGCTGATGCATTATCTTGAATGAGGGGCTCCATTAGTTTGCTTTCTTTGTTTTACAGCATGAGCTAAAAGGCAGGAGGGGATTTACATCAGTTCACATGAAAAAGGAACATTTATGTTTCTACGTGTTGACAGATTTCATGAGGTTGCAGCTGAATCGGGACGTTTGGTGGCTGACCGACACAAAGCAGAGCATGACTATGAAAATCATTTTTAATGGTGGGACAATTAAATGTTTTAATTGAGTTAATTGCAGATTCTCTAATTAAACACCATAAATTGAATTTTAATTAAAAAAAAACATTAACAAAACAAAAATCAATATTTTTTATTATATTCCCTTTTGCTAATAAATTCTTGAATAGACAAATGAGCTCAACAACAAAGATACTTGATGTTTTTAATCTGAGATTTAACAATCAGATTGGAGCCAAATGTGGTTCCACTCCTTCAGCCTTCATCCGGTTTCAGGAAGCCCTGGTCATTCATGGAGCTTCTTTGGAAACGTGGACGCTGACATTTAGAAAAAAGGGCATCTTTGTCACTTTTTGACTTTTAAAATAAAACTCCACCTCGTTTTTGCTCTGGATGAGTTCAGTCACATCGATTCTGTTCTCCATTTACCAGTAGCTGTTCACACTAGGCTGTTCCTTTGTGGTTTGGTGTCTGCAGCTGTTTGTTTTTCCAGTTACGGCCTCAAACGGGTTTAATCCACCAACATGCAGCCCAGAATCCTCAGTGGGTTTCTGCAAATTAACAGTTATTGTCCACATGTGTTGCCCAACAGTCAGCGCCTGTCCTGCAGGCTGGAGCTGCTCTGCTCCTCAAACCTCCACCAACCATGCATGTTGCATGAGCGCGCGGTGGAACAGCGGGCAGCGCTGGGGTCCAACTAGCTGTGTTTTCTCTCGTCAATTCCACTGGAATTGGAAGAACAGCAGCACATTTGTCACTGACAGAAAAGCCAGCCCTCCTTCCAGAGCTGTAAGCAGGAACTCTCCCTGGTGGTGATTTAGATAAATTGTTTTTCATTAAGCACCAATAAACAGGCAGCACTTTCTCAATCTGGCTTTCTCATTGGCGTGGGCTCGCCGATCTTTCCATTCATTACCTGTCACAGCGCAGCGCCAATGCTGCTGATATCTGCGAGCCTCTCTGGAGCTTATCAGATGTAATTTCCAGCTTTTAAGCTGTAATCATATTCGATAATGTGGCTGTAAGAGGCTCACTTTGAGAACCAACCATCAGAAGTTAATGGTAAAAAGAAAAAAAAAGGCATTTAAATGTGTGCATGTAATCTAAAAAGATTGTATTAAAATGAACTGCTGCTCTGTGCTGAAGCCTTGAACTGGAAGTTTTCGTCCTGCTCTTTAACCTCCATCTGCTGAGCTTTCATCTCCAGCTTTCGCTTCAGTCTTTGAGCTCTAAATGGTTTTCCGTTTCATCACACGGAGCAGCTGCTGGACAATATTCTTACATTTGCATTACTCATTTAGCAACAAGTGTGAAAACATTATTTTCCAAATTCACACCTCATGTTTGTTAAAAATTGTCTGTCGCCTCTGTGATTATAAGCCCGTTTTCAAAGCTGCAAACACAAACTTGACTGCATTTTTCCAGGTTTTAATGCGACAGAAAAGCATCTCAGTAAGAAAAGAAGGAAACGACTCCATTTCAAGATGTCGGTCTGAGACGTGTGACGTACATTTGTATTCAGCTCCCACTGACCAGTACTTTACATAAATACTGGTCTTTCTTCTGCCTTTAAGTTTCTGTGAGCATGATGCTGCCACCACCATGCTTTAATATGGGCAAGGTGGATTCAAGGTGATGCGAAAAAATAGTTTAAATCCACACAATGCTCTGCTAGTAGGCCAAGAAGTTGACTTTTGGTTTTGTCTGAGCAGTTATCACTCCTTCCCAATTAGACTGAGGTCTGGAATCTAATGTTAGTGTAGCTGGACAAAGCAAGAGTCCAGGAATCTTGCATAATATCCGACAGCAGCAGGTTCGTTAATGGGGTCTCCAGCCACTCTTCCAAAATAGCCAGTGTTACGGAGTAAAGCTTCTTCTCAAACAAGACGGAGGCTCGTATTTCTTTTACTGAACCTTTCTGTTCAGTATTTATTGAAGAGGAAAAACAACGGCATCAGCTGATAACGGGCAACAGCTGTTCGTAACCAATAGCAATCAAAGTCAACAAAGCAAGATAGTGACAAAACAGTAACAGATCCTTAAGCATTCTTCAAAATAAAAGACTTCCTCTATTCCAATAAATCATGTCTTGCACTGAAATATATTTCACTTCGCCTTTGTAATTATATACAATCATGTTCAATACAATTAATAATAATCATCAAGTAAATTATGCTTAACATATCAGTCACTTATCATGCAAATATACTGAACAACATAAGTGTAAAAAAGTCACAACAGCCAGATCAGTGGAGTACACAACTAAAAGTGTAACGTAGCAGATCCTGCCACCATTGAGCTTGTAGAGAAAATAACATCAGATTCCACTTGGTAACTTTCCAACTACAAGTTATGCCAAAGTCAGGGTTGCTAGGCAAGCTCCAATATTCCCAGTAGGATTTTCAACTTCAACAGGTGATGCTTTCATGACAACTGGTCACACTGGGTTTGTCTTTAGGAGTATTAGCATAAGTGGAAACATCACATTTCAGACTTATAGTTCTAATATTGACCTTAATGTGAAAAATATGCATGGAACTGATCAAGTGGTCAATCAGGTTGGGTTAAACGTTAAGGCCAGAACGTATCGTCATGCCCCTTTTTAACACCTGAGAAACTAAGAAAACGAATAAAAGCTTGAGTATATTATTGCAAGGTACTGTAATGGCAGGGCCTTTCCCTTTCCTGCTTAAGTAAACAATAATTATTCATCCCCAAACTCAGTGACCAATGGCATCATCAAAGTCTGATTAAGATTTCCCTCACAGCCTCCACTCAGCCTTAACGAGGGAGCGGCCGAGTGAGGAGGGTAACAATACGGAATCGATAAAGGTTGCTGGGGATAACCTTTGTGTTTTATCAGCCTGGTGTCGAGCTGTGCATAAGCTGCAGGGCCGAGATAGAAGCGGATAGTTGTCAGATGGCAAGTTAAGTGGAGGTATGGATCAGAGACGGAGGGAAAGAGACACCCTGCAGCAAATGAATCACGGCGGATCAATCGAGCTTAGGCTGTCTTCCACGGGAGCTTTGGAAACACAGTTGTCTTCACAGTATGCTCATTAGGCACGGATCAGGCCTTAATCACCCACATTTAGCTATCATGTTTTCACTGCCGTTCTTCCTCCGTGGCATCTTAACTGTGCATGTCTTTAATTTTTTTTAAAGCCCCGTTGAGCAGCCGTTCAATTAACTGCAGAGAGAGCATGAAGAAAAGACGACACGATGCAGCTGAAGAGTTCACCGCTGAGGCCTTCTGCTAAATGTCGTCACTATCGCTCAAATCTTTACCGCATCTCTGGGGATTGTAGCAGCGGCAACGTAAGTGAGGGCAAAATATTTCAATAGAAGTGCATATACAGATGGGGTGGGAGCAGAGGACGATTATAGGTTTCAGTGAGTGATTAGCTACAGACGCTCTTTTTATAGAACAGGCTGATGCTAAATAAGGCCCCTCAAACGAGGAGCCAACAAAGGGCTGCAGCCAGCAATGGGCAACTTTCATCCATCTCCAGGATGGTAAATCGAAATAATTAGGCCTGAGATAAAGCACAGAGAGGCAATGAAGAGCCAGAGGACAACCATCATCAGCATTACTACAGGTTCCTGGCTGCCATGACTCACTAACAGCAGCAGACAGGAAGTAAAAATAGTTCTCCTGGAAACTATGGTGGAAATGATGGGATTTCATTTGTTAATTTTCCCTCTTGAGTCGTGGATAAACTTTATCTCATGCCATATAAGCCGTCTGAAGGGCTGCGCGTCACATCTCCCGCAGAGAGAACCTGGGGGAGCGCGTTCCTGCCACGGCCTTCATGTGGAATTACATTTTCTCTGCATGAAAATGCAGGAGTAAGTGAGTCACGAGGAGTAATCAGTGCCGGCTGTGATCTGTCCCTCGCCACGATGCGGCTCTGCTCTTCGCAGGATCCCATTAACTCCGACAACATGCAAACACATTCAGGGTCAACACCTTGGATCGGCCTTGGAGGAGTGATGCTGATGAACCCGAGGACCCAAACCACTTCTAACGCGCCAACGAGTCACGCCTTCTTCTCTATTAGTCTGCTGGCACCGCGCAGCTTCAGCTTCATCCAACCCGTTTCTGAGCAGGAAGGCCAGCCTCTACCAAGTCATGAGTTTATTTTACATATTTTGTCATCTAACAACCACAAACCAGTGTATTTTATCTGGATTCCCACGCAAGGAAACTGACAGCTCTGTAAATGTTTTCCACATGAAAATCTGAAATCTGCATTCATTTTCTGCCCATCTGAATCGTAGAATCATTCTTCATTCACACAGCATCTACTGATGCCAGATTCCTACTTTTGTGCTGAAATCCAGTTTTTGTCTGTGTGGTTGTTTATGCTACTGATGGGTAATGTGACAGTTGACGCCGTCGATGGATCGAGTTTAAAGCTGTTCAACAATGGGAGTCAACAGTCACAAAATGATAACACCACAGAGGAAGCTAATGAAAAGACACACAAACAGCAGCAGAGCTGCAACTTCTCCAGATTGGTCCGTCTGGAGCCAGGAGTGACGGGATCCAACTGTTAATTTGATCAGTTGTGTTACAGACATCAATAACTGTAGCATCAGTGCTTTTAATACATGTTGGATTTTTGTTTTTCACTGAATAAATGCACTTAAAATATTTTGGTGCAATATGCAGATGAATTTATTATTGCACAGTCAAATAAATGAAGAAAACATTTCCTTTCCTTTTCTGCATCCCATCCCATTTTTTCAGGGTTGGGTTTATATTTTTAAAACTATTATTTTCTTTTTGGATTAAATTGGATTGCACTCATGAGAAATTGATTTCCTACCTGCAGAGGAGTGCTAAGTGCTCTCATTTAAGGAGACAGTTGGGAGTTTTGAGAGATGAGCCAAGTGGCTCATTTTTGTAGAAAATGTTATCGTGTGAATTTTCCCACTTCATGCATCCAGTGGCTGGTTACCAGGTAGGACTGTGGGTTGATGGGAACAACGCAGTGAAAAAATCCACCATCAACAGTTTTTGGCTGAATATCACAAGGTCCAGTCTGTGATGTGTGGTTTGCTCATGGTGGCAGCATGTTGGAGCAGCATGTTGGAGCAGCTTGGGTTCTTCTGATTTTGCTCATTTTTGGTTGACATGTTAAATGTTTGGACAGTTATTCCCTCTGGTTTTGGATGCAACTGGAAAGGATATTTGCTGCTGAACTTTTGCTTTTGGACAGTTATGATGAGTTACCATGGCAACAAGGTACTGTTCTCACTACTGGCTCAAAAAATACTTCAGAAGAGTTGAAAAGGAGGCTTGATGGATGCAGACCAGGAGCAAAGAGAAGGAAGAAGCTCAAACCATCATAATGACCATATGCCCTACTCCAACATTTCTCTGCCCATATGACTAGAAAGAGATTTTAAAAGGAATGACAAAAGCAAAGGAGGTGGATTAGCAGTTTGCCAACAACTGATGGTGTCATCTGGGACATGTTACTGTGGAATATCATCTCTGCTGGCCAGATGTTGAGCTGTTGGCGGGTCATAACAGTCATGTGACTGTTTTACAGAAGCCGTCTTTAGTCAGAGGTCTGTTCAGGTTAGTTGCAAGACTGGCTGCTACTGGAGATCTTTTCTAGCCCCAGCCTCACCCACAAAGACTTTCTGAAGATACTTGACTGATGTGAGTTACAACATTTAATTTCCCTTTGGAATAAATAAAGTAGTTTTCAACTGAATCTGATTAAAAGTAATTCACTGCAGCCGGAGAAGCAGAGCACAAAGAAAGTGCAGGGATTTGTAATTCACAGCAACAATTTTGGGAGCATCAGTGTGGAAAACCTTCTGCTAAGAGCGAAGCTGTCTGCTGAAGTCTTCCATTTTTAACCATGCAGATTCAGAAGTATTTTGTTGTGTTTGTCATTAGACGAGCAGAAAACCGAGGCAGATGGTGAAAAGTGGAATGCAAACCATGTGCAGATCGATGAACAAAATTCAGAGAGTGTCAGAAGAAATGAAAAGTGATTGACAGAACTCGGAGGCAAATTAAAGGCATCGGCAGATGGTTGGCAGCTGGGAGAACTCGTGATTCCCCTTGTCTTATTTATTTCCAGGCTGAAATTGTTAAAATTCAGTTTCAGCGGGTTGATTCAAAAATAAAGGAAATAACTCACTTTTCTCCTCTGCAGAGTTTGCCAACTAATTTTGTTTTTTGACAGTTTTTCGTAACAGAAAGAACAAATGCATCTGGCTGCAGATAAACTATTAACTAAAGACCATCTTCTGCACTGTCTGTTTCTGTATTTTATGCAGAAGCTCATACTGCTTTGCGGCTGAAAATAACTGACCCAGTGATGTATGGATCTCATTTGGACACCAGTCGTACCTGCAGCCACCTTTGCTTCAGTTGGAGTTGGCCACAGCGCTGGCAGAGTTTTTACCACTGTGTGTAGCTCTGGCGCTCTTCCTTCCCCAACCTGTTGCTGAGCTTTGTTAGTCAGCTGAATGAAGTGTGAAGGGTAACTCCAAAGTATTTTTGGAAATCAATCAATCAATCAACTTTATTTAAAGACACAAAAATAGGCCCATAGAGTAAAAGAAAAAAAAAAAAAAATCATCTATTGCTGATTTTTTGTTTTTGGTTGTTTTTGTTGAACCTATCTAAACTCTTTGAGGTAAAATGCATCTTGAGAAACTGTAAATACCTCAACGAAATGCGACTAGACATGCTACTAGCTGCTGTTTCCAAAGCAAGCCTGAAGATCTCCAGTTCATCACAGAGCAACAGACACACACAGGACAAACAACCATTCACACACTCACACCTACCAGCAACTTAATGAACCCAATTAACCTAAAAGTCATGTTTTCTACTGTCAGGTTAATTGGTCTCAGAGTGAACCCACACGTGGTCAGAGACAACATGCAAAATCCATACAGAGATTTGAACCCAGGACCTTCTTGCTGCACAGCAACAGAGCTGAGCAGGAGTCAATGGATGGACATTTCGTTTACCAGCTTACTTATTTACAGGTTACAAAGATATAAGAAAGTTCCCACCTTCCTTTTATTGGTCGGGCAAACGTAAAGGTAACTGAGGACGGCCTTGGACCCGATTTTGTCGTTCATTCTCTCATATGTTGATCCGTAGTCTGCAGATCTGAACAGAACAAAGAGAAAAAACAATGAGAAGCAGAAAACTGTGAAAATAATCCAAGCTGTGTGTCAAACAAACTGATGTTACTTTCTGTAATGTCACCATATTGATGAAAAAGAACAGAATATCACACCCAAAGGAAGAGAACAAACAGGATAAATGTTAGTTTGGTTGTGTACATGCAGCTTGTCCAGGGGAGTAAATCCGTGGCAGTGAAATAAGAGAGGGTTAACCAATCATCCACAGCTCCCACTAAAATGAACCATTCAAACAGCTCTGGGGACCTGACACTGTAAATAATTAATTCTCTCCTGATGACTACTATGAAATAAAATATGACGAGTGCAAAAACATGTGGATGTTCCAGAACCCTTGGGTTTTAATAATTTAACAGTGGGAATGAGCCTGTTAGCCAGCCCAGTCCCTGGAAACTCCACATGAATCCATCATCAGTAACAACCAAATCTGCCTTCAAGTACCACATTTCAGCATCTGCAGACCTGCTCACAGGCTTTTCTTCCTCTGTGGGTGTCGTGCCCGGGAAATCTTCTCAGTGGGGACAGAAGCTCCCGCCCACCGCTGTGGCAAAACTCCTGTTTGGATTTGCAGACTGACTCACATTGCTATGAGGAAAGCTAAGATGATTCCTGTTTTTGTCAAACCCTGCTGTTTGTGCTCCTTCAGAGGGAAACAGGCTTTCAAAGAGGCCGTAACGAGGTGTCGCTCCTTCAGAGGGAACGATATCTGCAGTGATTACAAAGCACCGTAATGAGCCACACAGAGGCAGCATCATTTCCACATTACATTAAAGTGGGATGGGGAGTAACAATGTTAGGCTGGAGTGTGAGCTGAGAACTACACATTTTACATCTGCTCCTCTGAGTGAAAACTTTCACTTATAAAGCTCTTGCAGAAAGTTTTGAGACAGACATGGATTTACAGGTGCTGAATCAAACCAATCAGTTTTACTGTCTCTGAGAGATTCTTCACCTGAGACTCTCAGATCTGTGTCAAAGGCAACGCCTACGCAAACTACAGCAGACAGCCGTCTGCTCGTTTCTGTGCACTTTCAAATAAAATGAACTAACAGAAAATGTAATTAATTGAATAAAAGATAACCTTGGTTTTCACTGGACAGCATCATAAATACCAAAACACACTATAATATATCTACATGGTCAAAGTTATTCCAGAACCTCTATCTTTTATTTCTGAGGATAGCGAAAAGAAAGCAAACTGATAATTTTATAATTAGCTAGCTTACTTTTTGAATTGATTTTGGTTCTTTGACACATTTCAACAACCATCTGACAGAATATTTTATCTATGTTATATTTACTATGGAATCTCCACAACTATAAATCAAAAACTATACTAGCACATCAATGAAGTTATTTAAAAAATGATTTAAAAGCTATGCACCGTGTGCAGAGGCTGCTGGATGCAGTTGGTCAAGTTTTGTTGTCTCTATGACGCCTTTCACACATTTTCTTTTTACGCTGATGACTGTGCGGTGTGTCAGTTGGACCCCTTGTACGTCCAAAATTGTGTTCAATTACCAACCAGTTCATTTCAATCACAACTTTTTAAAAATGTATCCATGCGTTTGTAATCAACCCAGTACGTGTTGGACAGCTTGAAATGCAGCAGCTCCATTTAACTGTCTGACATCTGTTTGCTACGACCCGTCAGGTTCATTTACTCCAGTACATCTGAAGCTCTCGGACTTTTAAAAAAATTAAAAACAAAACAAAAAAAAGATTTAGGTTGAGATCTGAAGGTGAACATAATATTTACCTTGCTTTAAGCTAAAGGCCAATTTCCTCAAACAAAAATCCTTTTCACTTTATTTTGCACCATTTCTTTTGATTTAAGCTGGTATGCATCGCAATGTTTAGTTCAAACCAGAACAAAAATGAAGAATGATTTAATTTAATTTTTCTTTTAGTGTTGTTGGTGGAGGAGGAGGCCATTAAAACAACCTTTTGATGCCTCACTGATGCGATGCCATGGAAATGTTTTATTCCTTCGGCTGCTGATCTGTTTATTCCCCAGCATCCAGATGAGCAGGTGGTGCACACTCCTGCTAATGGCTTCCAACAAGCCATGTAGTATAAGGTTTTAACAAAACCACAGAGACTAAATAATCTGTAAAGAAGGAAAAAATGTGTGTATGTATCTGAATCCTAAAGAATACTTAAAAAAACATGATGTGGTGATTATTCTTTTGCTGTTCATTGGAAAACACCCCATTTATGTTTTATCTAAATTGTGTATGCAGTTTTGCATGACTTCTCGATCGATGTCACCCAGCAGCTTCAGTTTGACAAACACAATTAAACGCTGCACAATTAAATTAAGATTAACTGAAAGTCTTTGATTCAGGCTCAGAGTGTTTTTCCAGCCAAATTCAGCCTGACCTTGTCCCTCTAATCACATCAAGTCTTCAGGGACTGACGGGTTCAGTTTGACCTGAGCTCTGCTCTCAAGCATTCGTCAAATGAACAGAGGATTATCCATATTTTGTTCTGCTCTGCCCTGTTTCTCTAAAGACTTAATAGCACGACTGCCTGGAAAAAAAACAGGCTTATAAGATAAAAATAGAAATAATGGAATGATTTATTTGTCTGGTTTCTCTTTGGAGGTTCCTAACATAAGTACATGTTTGCTTTGGTAATTTCTAAACACTAATCTTTCTTAAGTATCCATAGTTATTACTTATATATGTTAAAGTATGTGATGGTGTGAAAAATTGTTTCATTTTCCTACAGTGCTTTCTACTGAAGCACTGCATTGGAAAGACATAATCCACTTCGTCCATGGTGGGCATATTGGACAAAAAGCCCGTATTCAACTCTTAGACGTTGCAGTTTCAAAAGTTAAAGTAAAAACAATAATGGCTGCTTATGCTAACTGAAACCATGTGGACAAAGATTTCCAGACCTTCTAACAGATGTCTGGTCCCACTTTTTGGAACAAATCTGAGATGAAAAAAGCCTCTCAGACAATAACGTTTCATTTATTGTATCAGCAAACTTCCTTTCCACCACAACGGAGGACACACTGTAGATTAATAAGTATTGGTGTTACTATGGCTTGTGTACTATTTTTTTTTTTTTTTGGCCTGGTACATAAAGATCAGCTTGACAGCAGGAGTGAGAAGAAGTAGTTCTTTCATTTAGCAAAGAAATTACATACAATTTCATTTAGCAATAATTTATGTAAGAACAAAAACACCAAATATGAAGAGATTGTAGGAATTGACATTATGATTTCAGTGTTTACCATTAACCATTAACAAATCATCATTCACAACTTCTTCTGTTCGCTGACTGGCCCAGTTGAAATTCAACTAGAGAAATCAAGCTCAATAAGAGAAATACCAGACGGAGCATTCAAGGGAAATGAGAATTGAGCAGAATTGCTAAAGAAGGCAACAGCCAGGCTACAAAGTTCACAACTTTCATGCAAATTTTAACCATCTGAAGCCTTTTCTTATTTCAGCCTTTTTGAATAGCGGCTTTTTTTTTTTTTTTTTTTCCTGCTATTAAATGATGTTTCGTCAAATATTGGTCTATAACATTTTAACATTTTCAAATTCACTAGATACAAAGCTCAACATGAAGGAATTACATAACTGGGTTTGTGTCTGGGTGTAATTTGGATTGATGTTTTCCAACATGGTAGTTTATGTTTTATACTTTTAACATGAGGCGTTGTGACATTTTTAACGTCATTTAAACGTAAAATAGAATTATTTTTATTTAAATTACTCATTACTTTGTCATCTTCCTGGATTGGAGCATGATGTGTTGCTTTCCATGACCTTCTAAGCCTACTTCATGTTGCCAGACAGGTTCTTTTGGGTTGGCAGTAATCTGGGTTAGGATTAAGTTCCTAATTGGTTTTCATGGGTGTCTTGATAAATTATAAGTTGAAAACTGACCTTAGAATAATTAAAATTGGTAAGAGGGCTGATATTTTATGCGATGTGGTTAGCAGAAAGGTTTTTTAATGTGTGGGAAACAATTGTGTTTGTGCCTGTATGTCCCTGAGAGGACAGGAAGATGCTCCCTCACATAATTAACACGTGATTGCCACATTTATGCACGCTGCGTTTGTCAGTGGGGGGTTGTCATCGACACGTGTTCCAGTGGTCGTTTCCCCAGGAGTCGGTTTCCTCAGACGCCTTTTCACTTTCCTTCCACTCTTCATAAAGAATGAAAGTCCCAGAGACACATCTTAATAAAGCTTCAGCATGAATGAGAGTTTTTCTTTTAAAGCATTTTCTGTTCAACACCAAAGCACTCTGAGCAAAGACGGACCCGCTTCCATTTCTGATGAGACAAGCAGTTTTTTGCTGAAAAAACGTCTGTTTTGGGCTCGTTGTAAAAGATAGGAGCTCAAAATAATTTGGTGACAATCAGTAAAAGAGATTAAGGCAAATCTGACTCAGTGTGTAACATCCGCCTCGCTTTAATGCAGAATTCATACTCGGTCTGTGAGCATCAAGCCAACACTTATACCCAAGTGGGACAATAATCGATTAGAAAAGACGCGAAGGATGCTTCTCTCAACCTCTTTTCAGGTCAGAAACGCCATCTCCCAGCTTCCACAAAGGAGAGGTTTTCATTTGTTGCCATTTGTACCAATTTAAAAAGCCAAACAGAGATGCGACGTGGTGCACTGCAGTGTGTGAACATCAAATGATTGGAATAAAAGGCAGGCAGAAATTGCATTAGGGAATGTTTGTGAGGTTTTGCCAGATGGCTGCCAATAAAGCAGAACAATTCAGAGCTGTTGTACAACACGGTTGACCATGCTCTGGGGAGATAGAGGAAAAAAAGCCATCTACTTCAAAGACTAAAAACTCCAACTAAATCATTTCACTTTCTCAAAAATCGTACAAACAAAGCACATCACCCCGAAGCAGACAGAGGCTAAACAGAGTGTACAGCAAGGGAGAAGAGAGGCTGCATATCCATGCTCGTCATTGAAAAGGG